AACTAGGAACCAACTACAGCCTTCTAGACAACACCTCAAATTAGTTGTTTAGTATACAGTCAAATTTGAGCAGCAGCTAGGGGTGGTGAAATTAAAAATCCAAACAGAAGGGAGGAAAAGTGGTGTGACTCCTGAATCTACCCACTTATGGTTGCCTAGTAATGAGTCCTACACTTGATGCTTTTTTAGATCGCAACTTCTGAGCTCTGAGCAAATTTTTAATTTTCTGCATGAGCTCCTTTGCTCTCTCTTCCCAGTTTTGCAAATCAGCCCTTGTTCCCTTTTCAATATCTCACACAAAAGACACAGACCTACTTTTTCTTAAGTACTGTTACCAGGATATGTGGTCTCCCCTCTGTCATTATCTGTTTCTACAAATGCCCCATGCCTATTTAGACAATCTAAAACTGGCCACATCAATCCTTCCCCCGCCCCAGTCATGAAGTCCTCTCACACCCAAATCAAAACAGGTCCATCCATTCCTCCTCCCTTGTCTTATTTATCTCTTCTTCTGTAGCATAGACAAGACTTCAGTAATAGCAATTAATTTGCCCTAACTTCAGAATAAAAAAAATTACAACTAAGGAACACATTAGTAAAGAGCCCTAGAAATCCTGCCAAAGAAACAGTAGTTACGATACCCTTGTGGAAAAGATAAATTACTAATGCATGTATTTCAGTATTCCGATGCACAGTTCATTATCTTGTGAGACATTTGATATTTTGGAAGCAATTCTCTAGTTTTCATGAGTCCAGGAAAGTTCTGTTAAGAGAAATTTTGGAACTTTATTTTTAAAAGTAATTCACAATTTCTGGTTTTCTCTTGTTAGTTTTAAATAGTTTGTTAACTTTTTAACTAAGGAACACATTAGTAAAGAGCCCTAGAAATCCTGCTAAAGAAACAGTAGTTACGATACCCTTGTGGAAAAGATAAATTACTAATGCATGTATTTCAGTATTCCGATGCACAGTTCATTATCTTGTGAGACATTTGATATTTTGGAAGCAATTCTCTAGTTCTCATGAGTCCAGGAAAGTTCTGTTAAGGGAAATTTTGGAACTTTATTTTTAAAAGTAATTCACAATTTCTGGTTCTGGTTTTCTCTTGTTAGTTTTAAATAGTTTGTTAACTTTTTAACAAACTTGGGAGGATAGTTTCATTTTTTTAAATAGAAAAATGTCCAAAAAAAATCCTACTTCAATTTCAGCAGTGTTTCAGGAGTGAATGTGAACACAGCAAAGAAAAGGAAACGTTATAGCATTATCACATAAATTATTTTTTATTCTCGTTACTCTAATTTTGCCCCTGAAAGCAAAACACCAATTAATATAATTGTAATTCCTATAATGTGTTATTTCTGAATTCTGTGAAAGCATTTGGATAGAATCTGATGAATATGTAAAGACAGACATCATTGCAGCTGCTAGGGAAGTGTATTCGCTGACATTTAAAAATATATACAGTCATCTTTTTTTCAAAATCAAAACATGATTTTTAATGCTTCAGATATTATTATTATTATTATTATTATTATTATTATTATTATTATTCTGTTTTTTCTCCCTCGAAGAGATTCAGAGCTGTGAAACAATACAATCTACCATTTAAAACCTAAAATCTAAACGGTTCTGGCCCTGCTTACCTCTCCGAACGCATCTCCACCTATGAACCGACGAGGACGTTAAGATCGTCCGGGGATGCCCTGCTCTCGGTCCCGCCTGCGTCGCAGGCGCGGTTGGCGGGGACGAGGACAGGGCCTTCTCGGTGGTGGCCCCTCGGCTATGGAATGCCCTACCCGTAGACATCAGGCAGGCCCCTTCGTTGCTGGAGTTCCGGAGGAAGGTCAAGACGTGGCTCTATGAACAGGCGTTCGGTCAACAAGGCAACTGAACTCATGAAGACGGTATAAATGAACAAGGAATGGTAGAAGGATTATGAGAACGGAATCTGATTTTACTGAGGCGTTGATGACCACGTTGTTTTGTCTTGTATTGTCTGTCGTGTATGTTGTGTTTTAACTAATTGTTATTGTTATATAAATTGCATTGTAAACCGCATTGAGTCGCCGATTTAGGCTGAAAAATGCGGTATAAAAATAAAGCAAATAAATAAATAAATAAATAAATAATAAAATCTAGAAAATTTAAAATAGAATTAAATCTAGTACTGTGTAAAGATGAATAATTAAAAACATTAAAACCAATGTAAAAGACATTAACCAGCACACAATTGACACGCTAACTCTTGACCACAGCTTCTTAAACTAATTTTTCTAAATGCCACCTAGTGGCTGTTTTAGATATTTACATGAATCTGTTATGCAGTATTTACTGTGGTCTGCAAAAGATGCTTCAGCTGTACTTCATAAAAAGGAAAATCACTCTGTTTAGCAAGCCTTGCAAGTGCTGATTTATTACCAGGAAATGTTTTGCTTGTATATTTATTCCATATATCTATTTACCTAGAAGTTCTGAGAGTGCCTTGGACTGCGAGAAGATCCAACCAGTCCATCCTCCAGGAAATAAAGCCCGACTGCTCTTTGGAGGGAAGAATACTAGAGACAAAGTTGAAGTACTTTGGCCACATCATGAGAGAAGGAAAGCTTAGAGAAGACAATTATGACGGGGAAAGGGGAAGGCAAAAGGAAGAGGGCCGACCAAGGGCAAGATGGATGGATGGCATCCTTGAAGTGACTGGACTGACCTTGAGGGAGCTGGGGGTGGTAACGGCCGACAGGGAGCTCTGGCGTGGGCTGGTCCATGAGGTCACGAAGAGTCGGAGACGACTGAACGAATGAACAACAACAACATTTACCTAGAGCCACATAAAAAAATTTCAGGCCAAAATAGGGTCCTAAGTTAAGAAGCCCTGCTCTAGACTACTGGGTGCCTTAGTCTAGAAAAAAATATCTCACATACTCTGAAGAAAGAAGACAAAAATAGATGTGTCCAGAAGTACACTGCAGAATAAATGATAGCACTTTAATGTCATGGCTCAGTGCTACTGAATCATGGGACTTGTAATTTGGTGACACACCAGCAGACTTTGACAGAGAAGACTAAAGTCATGTCATGTTGCATTCATTCTACTGTGTATATGCACCCTAAGTGTCTCAGGCTGGATCTAAACGGACCCACAATCCAGCTCTAGAATGCCAACCAACTGCATTGAACTGGATCACATGAGTCTACAATGCCCTATACCCATATCATTGCAGTCAAGCCACATTCCGAAATATGTACAGTCCTCTTGATAGATCAGGATTTATAGGAGAGATCTTCTCTCTTTTTTAAAAACCCAAAGCAGGGTAAATTGCTAGTGTTTTTTTAAAAATAATGAAATTACAGTACATCTCATTTTCCGACTATATAAGTTATCCATGGTTCTGATTGATTTGTAGTTGTGCCAAATGCAATTCAACTTCCTTCCCTTAACTAAGAGGTTTTCAAAACTTTGATTCAAAATGGTGCAGTTACTTTAAAAAAGATAATGGTGATTTGTTGTTTATTCGGTTGTGTAAAGTGCTTCCAAATCAACTCTTACTTATTTTGTTGGCACCATTTATTCAGAGGAGGTTTGTCATTGCCATTCCCTTAAGATGAGAAAGTGCGATTGAATAAAAATGCAAGGCATACGAATTAAATCACAGTAAGGAAAACAAATATGATACCATCCATTAAAAGCAGAGTGTTGAGTGGAAAGACCCAGCTAGGATCTGATTCAGAAGCTGTATTTTACTCCAAGGATGGACAAAGTGTGGCCCTCCAGACCTAGTTGAACTGAAATTCCCAGCATCCCTCACTTCTGTCTAGATGTGCCTAGAGCAAACCATCTGGAAGACTTCTACTATTCCTGTTCCTACTTTACAGAACATGAAGTGAGTAGGGCCCACTTCAAAATTTGCATTCCCTCTTCTGTTCACAAGTATTTCTAATTTTAACTGTCATGTGTTAAATTGGGAGAAGCTGGCCAATAATTCCCAGTAGTTGGAAAGTGCTATGTTTTGGCTTGCCTTTCGATAGGATTCCCCCACCATCAGTGCTCCTGCTGCTTGCCTCAAACATAAGTCAGTATAAAGCTCAAGTGTTTCTCTTTGATCCGCCATTGTATGTGGCTGAGTAAATAGGCTTGAAATTGAATGAGGGTGAATTAGTTGATATTAAACCCTGACAGGGCTGAAGTGCAGTTGGTCAATAGAGAGTCTGCCTGAGTATTTAAAATTAGAAGTATTTGTGAACAGAAGAGGGAATGCAAATTTTGAAGGTCCTGCTCACTTTGTGTTCTATAAAGTAGGGACAGGGAATAGCGTGAAGGGCTTGTTTCTGCTTCCTTTCCAGGTTCATAATCTGGGGGTGCTCCATGAATATGCATTTCTCTTAAAATCCCATGTGAGAACAAATCCAAGAGTGGGTTGTTGTAGGTTTTTTAGGCTATATGACCATGTTCTAGAAGCATTCACTCCTGATGTTTCACGTGCATCTATGGCAAGCATCATCAGAAGTTGTCAGGATGCTTGCCATAGATGCAGGTGAAATTTCAGGAGAGAATGCTTCTAGAACATGGCCATATAGCCCAAAAAACCTACAACAACCCAGTGATTCCAGCCATAAAAACTTTCAACAATAAATCCAAGAGTATTTTTGGCAGATGTCCATTTTTTCCATGAACCACTTGAAAATTATTGTAATGACCAATTAACAGGAAAAATGGAATAAACTTTGTTTTGTCCACAAATCAGTATCACTCCAGGTCCCATGCCAAATGCAAAGAAGGACTCTTTTAACTGGTAAATGTTTAGTGGAAGAGAAAAACAACAAACTATACCAGGACCATCTTATAAAAATGAATGACAGGTCAAAGTGCTAAAATTCTGAACTGCTTTTTAACAATGTATGGACCACCTGAACGTTTCTCTCAGACCATTGTTCAAGGACCTCTGTTTTCATATTTTCCTAATATATTGTATCTCTCCTTCCTTCCCCTTTCTGTTTGGTTATAGAAGAATTCATGAGAAGTTATGCAAACTACTATCAAAGTCTGTGGGACTGTACTGGTAGCCATCCAGATGAGCTGTCCTTCCAGCGCGGAGATTTGATATATATCATCAGCAAAGTATGTGTGAAATTCACAATTGAATTGAATTAAGCATGACAACTGAATTATTACTCCCAAGCCATGTTTTAACCAAATATTTCTTCCTCTACAAGGAAATAATAGTAATGTGTTTAATGTTAAAGTATTTTGTAAAGCCATGGTAGAAGGAGATCCTTAGTTTGGAAGGAGATCCATAATAATAATAATAATAATAATAATAATAATAATAATAATAATAACTGTATTTATTATTGTTATTATTGCATTTATTACTTTACTCTATTACTACTGTTATAATTACATTTCCATTATTTTACTCTTATTATTTGAAACACAACAAGATTACTCTGCTGGCTGTTGAATTGGATCACACGTTGGACTCTTCCCAACTATCTAGGATTGTGTGATGTATCAGCGAATAATGCATGCAGATCCCAGTAGGGTGGCCTTTTGCAGCTGACAGATGGTAATCTTGTCAGCACCTATTGTGTTTAGGTGCAGGCCAAGGTCTTTAGGCACTGTACCCAGTGTGCTGATCACCACTGGGACCACCTTTACTGGTTTGTGTTAGAGTCTTTGCAGTTCAATCTTTAAATCCTCGTATCGTAATAATAATTTATTTAATAATAATAATAATAATTTTTATTATTATTACATTTATTATTTTACTCTATTATTCTTGGAAGGATACATAAGCACATTTACATTGAAGGAGATTAGAATAATGGTTTAATCAGAGTTGGACAGCCCTATCTTAAATTACAGTTTTATGTACATATTCAAAAACATTTAACCTACTGAAGCCTCAATTAATGTAATGTTATTGGTATTTATTTTCATTTTGAAATTTACCAGTAGCTGCTGCATTTCGCACCCTCGGCTTATACTCGAGTCAGTACGTTTTCCCAGTTGTTGTTTTTTTTTGTGGTAAAATTAGGTGCCTCGGCTTATATTGGAGTTCGGTTATACTCGAGTAGATACAATACATGTTCTAGGAAGGGTTCCCCCAAAATGGTAACCTCCATATGGGTTGTACTACAACTCACATCATGAAGGTAAGCATGTTAGGAAAGCTGCTACAGAGCAGTTCCAATTCATAGAGAGGAAAAGTGTGCTAGCCAGTCAACTTGACCAGCCTCTTTCATGAGTCAGTTGTCTGCCTGAAATACTTCTCAGGGATTCCATTTGTGTATGGACAATGGTCCCACAACATACAAGTGAATGTGGAAACATTTCTACAAATTACAATAGGCGGAAAATCACAGATCTAAATTATCTTCATTCTATCTTTTTTCTCTCTCACTTCAAACTCTGCTTCCTAGACTCAGAAAGTTGTTTTTGGAAACTTCTTTTCTTATAGCAGAGTTGGTCTCAGTAATAGGCTGAGCATGTGTGTAAATCACTCAGGAATTGCAAGGTTAATTGAGCTGCTTGGTCAGGTGTGAGGCAGGGGCAGGGGAGTGCAAGGTGAAGGAATATGGAGATACAAAATACTTTCTGTGCTTCAAATGTGCAGGTAAATAGATTGGTAAGTTCCTAAAGGTGTGGGTGAATGAATTGGCTTAAGCAAGGATCCAACTCTCCAGGCAGTTTGATTTTGAGACCCAAAGACACTGAATGTTCAATAAGATCATTGCCAGCGAAGAGAGAGAATATAAGGCAGCTCAGGGAGTAAGGGCTACAACTGGGTTTCACACTAGAGATGAGTTGTCTGGAATGAACTCTGTGGTTAGGGTTTTATAGGACCCAGTGGCCTGTGATTGGCCCTTGGAGGTATCTGACTGGATGCCCATACTGCAACCTAGGTGGCATCCTTGAAGCCTTTCTGGATTTGCGGTAGAAATAGCTGCTGGTACAAATGGCAAAGTTGCAGAGCCTGGATGCCAGTAGCCCTAGCTCTGTAGCCTTCTTATTCTTTACAGATAGCGTGATGATAGGAGTAGTAATTTGGGAAGGAAGCCAGCATGGTGTGGTTTGAGCATTTGACTACCACTCCAGCAACCAGGATTCAAAGCCTTGCTTGGCCATGAAAACCCTCTGGGTGAGCGTGGAAAAGACATGATCTCTCAGCTTCAGAGAAAGATGAAGGGAAACTCTCTCTGAACAAATCTGAGTGAGTGTGGAAATCTGACTTTTCCATGCTCACCCAGTGGTTTTTATGGCCAAGCGAGGCTTTGAATCCTGTTCTCCGGAGTAGTAGTCGAATGCTTAAACCACACCATGCTGGCTTCCTTCCCAAATTAATACTCCTATCATCACACCATCTGGCCTGGGTTGCTGTGAGTTTTCCGAGCTGTATGGCCATATTCCAGAAGCATTGCTCTCCTGACATCTCGCCCACATCTATGGCAGGCATCCTCAAAGGTTGTAAGGACCTCACAACCTCTGAGGATGCCTGCCATAGATTTGGGTGAAACGTCACGAGAGCATGCTTCTGGAACATGGCCATACAGCCCAGAAAACTCACAGCAATCCAGGTATAATTTATCTTATTTTGCTCAATCTGGGGGTTTTAAAGTTATTTGCAATTTATTCTAGACTTTGCTAGCCATAGGAGGACTAAAGGAGCTTGCACAATGTCTTTCAACCATTGAAGATCTTATACAGATTCCCCTCTTCAGTTTCTAAGAACTCTTCCACACAGCTCTATATCCCAGAATATCAAGGTGGAAAACCCCACATTATCTGGGTCTGGACTCAGATAACCCAGTTCAAAGCACATATTGTGGGATTTTCTGGCTTGATATTCTGGGATATAGGGCTATGTTGAAGGGCCCCTAAGACATCAGCAGGTCTTGCCCATATTATCTTCACAACCATAAGGGCTAAAACTATTATAGACAGAAAGAGGGAATATTTCAGGTTTCCAGTCTGTCCCCCAAAAATTCTGTTGCCAGTATTTTGCATTAATTGCTTCTTTAGTACTATTATCATTTCTCTTATCATTTTTTTCAGATCATTTATTGTGATCTAGAATTTTTTTTTCAAAATGTGTGTTTGCCTTCAAGTTGCCTATTAACATATGGTGAGTCCATTAATTTCATAGAGGTTTCTTAAGCAAGGAATATTCAGAGAGAGTTTCATCAGTTTCTTCCTCTGAAATGTAGCCTACAGCACTTGGTCTTCATTGATGGTTTCCCATCCTAGTACTAACCAGAGCTGACTCTGCTTAGCTCCTAAAATGAGATGGGATTTAGTGTCTTTACTGTTTGAGAATTCAAAAATAATCATTTAAACTCCTTATAACTAGGCTTTCAACCACCAATTTGTGTATATATGTTAATGCTCCAACAGGAGTCATTTATGGCAGATCCTTATGCACTTTCGTTCCTTCCTCTGCCTTGTGAGAACATGACCTGGTTTTAACTCTCTTCTGTGACTCAAAACTGGAGCTCCATCACGACTTCTTCACATGTAACCAATTGGTCCTGAGTGTCTCCCTTTTCACAAATTACTTTGCGTGGCAACTGAGCTCACCTATAACAATGCAGCAAAGTGATGCTTGAGAAACCATGGTGGAGTGGGGGTTGGGGTAGATGCGAATCTGCAAGGAGAGTAGGAGGCAGAGAAAAAAGGTGTTTGAAAAGCCTGTTCACTCAACTGCATTTTAATTTCCTTTTCAATCTTGTCCCAATTAATTTTGCGGAATTAATCTCACAGAAGCAAGCGTGGCAGTGGCACAGAGGCTGACTGGCTTTTGCTTTTTCTTTTCTTTCCTTCTTTCCTTTTTTTTTAAAGCAGTGCGATTGCTGTGCCTTGAACATGAAATAGTAGCTAATATAAAAATCCATCTGGTGTTGTTTGGAATGCATGCCGTCTGCTGCTAAGGTCCTGTCTGACATTTCATGCATCAGCCGTGGGGAGACGTGATTTTGGATGGGGAGGGTTCTTTGGCTGAGATTCAAATGCCAGCAGGAAAGACCTGTCCAATCTTACTACTGTGTCAAGGGAAACTGGCTGTATAAACCTTGTAACTTCACTCTAAAATTATGTTGTAACAGAAGACAGATTCTTCCTCTTCAACATCATATGCACTTCCAATCTAGAATGTAACATGAGTTTTCATAGCTGGAACTGAAATGCAAAATTGCATTTGGGTATTGTCAGATGCAGATTCCATGAAACAACCTCAAATCCTGTATGCATTTTGTTTCTTTTGGAAAAAGAACTCTGGGTATAGGAACCACAGATCCTTTCACCAGTGACACCTAGTGGCCTGTTATGCATATTGCATAGCAACAACCCATTCTTTTTCACTGCACCATTCCAGTGCTCTGATATTACATGGGCAACCATGGCTATATCCTGTGGTTCCCTAGGGTTTATAGTTTCATCTAGTATTGAGAATTATCTGCTGGAGAACTCTAGTGCCTAGCCAGACTATAAATCCAGGAATTCTGTGAGGTTAAGCCACAGTAATAAAAGTAATATCAAAATGGTATCATTGCATAGATCAGTGGTTCTCAACCTTCTTAATGAAGAGCAAACTACAGACCACCTGCTGCAATGCAACCTGAGCCCTGCCACATGCACAATGGAGGACCTTCTTGCAGCAACACCAGAGGCACTCCAAGTGGCCACTACTGGTCAAAGGACATTTAATCATCTACCAAGCTTGCAAATTTTGTGTTTTGTTTGTTTTTTTGTTAAAAAATGCAATGCAACTGTTTGGTCTGCCCCTGACACAATAAATAAATAACCTTCCTAATGCCACGGCCCCTTAATACAGTTCATGTTGTGGTAACCCTCAACTATAAAACTATTTTTGTTGCTACTTCATAATTGTAGTTTTGCTACTGTTATGAACCGTAATGTAAATATATGTTATGTAGAATGTATTTTCATTTACTGGAACAAATTTGGCATAAATACCCACCCAAATTTGAATATGGGTGTGGTTGAGGAGGGGGTGATTGATGTTATCATTTGGGAGTTGTAGTTGCTGGCTTTTATACTTAACCTACAATTAAATAGCATTCAGAACTCCACCAACGATGGAATTGAACCAAACTTGGCAC